AAAGTGAGGTGAATATGTAGGCATTGCAACATAGCATTAGACTATTAGGTAAGGGTTACTTGAGCACAAGTACTCCTTTACTGTGACAGTGCACTAAGTGACTAATGGGTGGATAGTGTATGTGGTTTATATGCTATAGACAAAGAGATGACTTATGTACTCAGAATGGTGCACTTTATAGCTATGAATTGCTTATTTCTGGAATTATCCATTTAATATTTTGGACTGTGGAAATTCAGAAAGTGAAACTGCATTAAAGAAGAACACTGTTTCTTGTGTATCCCTGGAGATAGGGGTACAGTTAACTTCATTACAAGTCCTTGGACTGAATGAGGAAAAAGTTAGTTTCCTAGAGGAAAACTAGAATAATGTGATCCTGACAAAGGTGAATGGTAACTGGGTAGAGAAATTACAATCTTTTGAAAAGTTAAAAATGTTTGAAACTTTTGGATAGATGAATGACATTTGACAAAAGGAGGTAGGATGTGAATAGAAGTCAGATCAAAGACACAAAGGGCTAGGTTGGATGGGAATAAATCTAAGGGACAGAATGGGATTATATTTGAGTCTATCCTGAAATGACATGAATAAAGCATAGAATTCGGACAGGCAATGAGGAGTTTACTGAAGTTTGGGTCCCTATTGCAGTTTGGATTCCGAATGTTCTCCGAATGTTCTATGTGTTGAAGGCTTGATTTCTAGCACATCCCACTATTGAGAGGTGGTGAAACCTTTAGAAGGCGGGGCCTATTGGAAGGAAATTAGGTCATTGGGGGTGTGCCCTTGACAGGGATATTGGGATGCAGTGCTGCTACTCTCTCTTTGTTCCCATTCTTGAGGTAAATGAGCTGTCTCTGACACATGCTCTTGCCATGATGTACTGCCTCACCACAGGCTCAAGCACAACAGAGCCAACCAAACATGGGCTGAAACCTTTGAAACTCTGAGCCAAAGTAAAACTTTTCCTCTTATAAGTTGATTATTCCAAGTATTTTGTTACAGTAATAGGAAGCTGATTAATAGAGCCCCTGTTTGATTTTGGCACAAAGCTGTTTTGCCTTCATGCTTTAGTTCTAGGCTCTTTATTCTCCTATATTACAGAGGACCTGAGACTTTAAAGGTAGCTCATCAGAAAAGCTAATATTTAGATGAAGTGTTTTATCCTAAGTATAATAACAACTTATCAGTGATTATTATTAATGATAGTGTGTTGCACGTTATTCTCTATTACTCTCTCTTTTTCTCTTTCTTTCTTAGGTTAACTATTCGAAAATATTGTAGAACAGGAGCAAAATTATGTTCCCCAAAAGATCACTAGAATTTTTTGCTATGCTTTTTCTATCACAAAAATTTGATTAAGATTAATTTAAAATGACAGAACTGAAGACATGTTTTACTTGCCTTAAGCAGAGGCCAGATTCAATGTAGAACATTCGTATCCTTCATTGTGGAACAATTATCAGCTGATTTATATATTACATAATTCTTATTAGTGGTTTAAAACCACTAATCAAGCTTCTTAAAAATTTAAAGACATAAAAGAAGAATATTTAACATTTTATATGCTATTTGATAAACTTATTAATTTTTAGCAAGGTCTTTATGATTGCATTTAGAAATATATGTTGTTATTGTTGTTTTAGAATTGGCAACAACTTGGACTGGAGCACTTTAATAGAAAAGTTAAGAATGGAAGCTTGTTTCTAGGAGAGTGCTGGTTAGTCTTACATTTGTTTTGGAGATCTAATCGTTGCCATATGTTAGACCTATCAAATGAATGATGTAATTTAGGCTGCCTGTTGTCCTGCCAACTGCTCCATGCTGCCTCCTCACTTTTAGCAAGCATTACTCCAATATGTGCATATATCACCCAGCAGTAGTTTCTTATACAACCCTGGTAGTCCTTGGGCCCTTAACCTTATCCATCATCTACATAAGCTCTATCTTTTTCCCACTGTAATTTAAACTAGTGAAAAAATCATAGTAACCTTGGCAGAGAATGTACTTGAAGGATAATAGTTAACCCAGTATTCTGATGCATGAATAGAAAACCAAAGCGAGGGTTGATGAAATTAAATCATGATGGATGAATTCAACTTTCTCCACCATGACAGTGAAATACTTCTTTTTTAATGAGACATTAGATGGTACATTTCACCATTCTGAAGAATAGGATGACAGAGCAAAACAAAAAGCAACTTATATATTTTATCACCTCTGGTGACTTCTATCTAGGAAGATACAAAGTTCCATCTGAGTATCTCAAATATTTATGGAGCTATAACCCATAATCTTTCAACTTAATAAATGAACAAACAGTCGATCCATGACTTATTCCAGGTTGTTATTTATATATCTGTATTTATTGGAAGAAAAATTTGTAGGTATTTTATTCTCTAAGTTATATTAGGAGAAAAATCTGTGATCAATAAATACATTTGAAATTTATTTTTTAACAGTTTGAGTTGCACTGTCACAATCATCCACTGTTTTGAACTATGATTTTTCAAAGAGTAAGACAGTGAGAATTTTCTCAGCATTATGAGAGAATCCTAGAATTTGCCACTGTGCAGCTTGAAAGGCTTTTATATATCTTTTTGTATTCAAACATTAAAACTACTTATTTTAACCTGGTATCCTCATATACTTTCATTATGGCTGATTTCTTTTTCGCTACCCTTTTTGGTTCTTTTTTTCTTTATACCTAGGATTGGTGAGATAATTTTCTTTAATTTACACCTTTTGCATGGTCCAGCAGGATCTAAAATTAATCCTTTCCTTTATAGCAGTTGTACTCTTATGTAACCTTTGGCTCCCACATGTCATCCTAATGAACTTCCCCATTTCCTACTGTTCTACAATCTGTCTTTTTGGCATCTTAAAACCTTCTGCACTCTTTTTTTTTTGGGTTGGTGTGTTGGTTTGCTAGGACTTCCATAACAAAGTACCACAGAGTGGGTAGCTTACACAACAGACACTCATTTTCTCACAATTATGGAGGCTGGAAGTCAGAGATCAAAGTATTGACACAGCGGATTCTTTGTGGGGGTGGGGCATGAGGGAAAGGTATGTTCCAGGCCTTGCTTCTTGGCTTTATAGATGGCATCTTCTTCCTGGGTTTTCATGTTGTTTTTCCTCTGTAAGGGCTAATGTCCAAATTTCCTTTTTCTATAAAGGACACTGGTAATATTGGATTAGTATCTACCCTAATGGCCTCATTTTAACTTAATTACTTCTGTAAAGACCCTAGCTACAAATACAGTACTGTCTGAGATACCAGGAGTTAGGAAAACAGTATCTGAATTTTTACTACTACTACTACTACTACTACTACTACTACTACTACTACTACCACCACCACCACCACCATCACCACTACCACCACCAGGGATTGAACCCAGGGACTCTTATCACTGAGCCACATCCCTAGCCCTTTTATTTTTTTATTTATTTTTTCATAGGAAATAAAAACCTAAGACATTAGTTTATTGAGCTAAAATATCAGCATTGTTCACTATCCCAAGAGGAGCACAGGAGGTAACTCCAAGGCTGCTGAAGGTCAGGGCAGCACAGAGCAAGGCACAGTGATGGGGAAAGGGAGTCGGGCTCAACTGCAAAGAATCACAACAGGTAGCCAGGACTTATCCCACAGAACTGCCCCTTGGGCTCCTGGAGAAACATCCAGGCCCCACCATCACCTCTCCACTGAGGAGAGAAAGTAACAGAATTTTTTGGTCATAGTGACATTTTGGCTATATATCCTTAAGAAAAGGACTGGCACAAGCTAATGGGGAACAGTGTGATAAAATAAAATGGAATCAATCAGGCTACTGTGTTCTACCCCCCAACTTTTCCTTTTTACTCAAATAAAGGAGCAGAACAAGGCCATTCATTATCTTCTTATCTTTATCTTAAAGCCGTGGCATTTCTATTAGAGACAAACACAAAACACCAAAAATTGTTCTAATACTACTTGGAAAGGCATCAGCAATATGACAGATAAGTTCTTGTTCCCTCAAGATATTTTACTATCTATAACTTATGATAGCCCATAAAAGGATGCTGGGTAAACCCAAATCTAGAGATCTGACTCAGAGTAACAGCCACCCTTCCCTCCAGGGGTAACTGTCTTTGGAGCTTTGCCCCCAAGCTCCACCTGCCCTGTGCCGCTCAGGTCTAGACAAGCAGGCACAGAGGCAGCCAGTCCTGCACTGGTGATTCAGCACACACTCTTGTTAGGTCCCTTAGTCTTGAGAACAAAAGCTCACCTGGGAAACAAGGAACACATGGACCCAGCTCCACCTGAGCACTAGGAGAGAAGAATGGCATGTCTGGAGCAAGCAAGAGCTTTCAAATACCTACTTTTTCTGTTCCAAAGAGCTAAGGACTATTCACATTAGAGGACATTAAAGTCCCTTTGGCTCATGTAGCATACAAAAACTAGACCCTTCTTACCAAGCAGGCTTTAGGACAAATATCCATGGGAGTGGGCAATGCATTTTTTTTAGTCAAAAAGTCTCCATGTTGGGAAGACTTAAATCCACCAGTCTTCACTTAGCTCTGTGTGGTGATATCTCTGGAAAGGTGAAAACAAGGGTAAGATATGAAGCTCTGTAAGCCTCAATTTCCCCAGATATAAAATGAGGGTAGTGGGGTTTACCCCAGAGGATCACTGTGACACAATATAAATAAAACACTGAGCTTAGCACAAAGAAGACAGAGGTGGAGGAATATGGGGCATAAGAAAAGAAACAATAAAATTATATATTTGGACAGGATAATAGAGGGTTTCTAAAAGTCTTCTTTAAGACCAACTCAGATCCTTGGGAAAGACAACATACAATACTGAGTTCCAAGATAGCAAAGCAGATATATCAAAGACAATGTATGATTTGGATACATAAAAAAACAAAAAAAACAACAACAACAACAACAAAAACAATGCCTTCCTTCACACACTGTTCTTCCAGAGAGACATGAATGCAGTATTAACTAGTGGACACAGTCCTGATAACATGACACAAGACCAGTTCTCGATCTGGAGATATGACAATGCTCTTAGTAATTAGTTCACAAGTCAAAAAGACAATGACAAAAAAATTGTAGATTTTTCATCCTTCGGAGGAATTTCCAGTTGTAAATTTAGGATTCCATCATTTCTTTAAAGGAAAGCCACGAAATACATCAGCCTGAAGAATGCATGCCTGCCTCATTTCAGCTGATTAGCACGTCTTCTGAGATTAAAAACTAGGATGGCTTTCCCGTCTGGGTTCCTAACTGCTCCTTCGCTTTGAGTTCTTTTAGCTTCTTCTCATAGCGACTCATGAAGTAATCATCTGGTTCAATTCCTGCATTCTTCAAGTTTTCCATGACCTTTTCCAGTCTGAGCACTGAACGGGCTCCCTCAATCTTTCTTGTGCTCAGGTACAGAGTGAACTCTTGGAAATCCAGAAGCTTACAGGTGTCCACAGAACAGATATTTCTGATATCACTGCTTCTATCCAAACGAGGGAAAAACACCAGTCCTGACAACTTCCCTAGGTCCTGGAGGCTCACTTGGAATTCAGTTAACTGGGGTTGGAAACCAGTGGCTTCATTGGGCACGACAAAGGCCCCCAGTGCCAGCGGTTCAGTAGACTCTGGGCTTCTGCGAGCCAGTATCACCTTATAAAGGTGTGAGGGAACTGCCACATTGTCCTCACCAATCACCTGGTAACTAACTGTTTTTTTCCCATCACTTCTAGTCTGAGGTAAGGTTAAAGGTCCAGACACTACCCAAACATCTTCAAACCTCTCTGTCAGTTCACGACAGTACATTTCTATTCTGTTCCAATATCCAGAATTATTATCAAAATTCTGAGGCACAATATTAGAAAGGTAAAAGGTTTCAGCCATGGCTTTACTAGAAAATTTGTTATTTCCTGCTGGAGCCATGTGTCCTCGTGACCAGCCACTTCCAACATAGTCTTCATTGAAGGCACTGAAGGCTGGAGGGATGTTGGGATCAGGCTTGAATTTACAATGTTTTCTGTCGGCATCACCCATGATCTTACTTCTGGATATATGTTTGAGAACCCATCTAGGCACCCGCTTTGTCTGATCATAAGACAAGGCATGATTAGTATAACACCTAGTCTCTGTTCCAGTTAAAGGAAATCCAAATTGTTCCAATACAGCCTTTTCTGCAGATTCCTGGTGAATTCTTCGGGGACGAAGGGAGAGATCTCCAGAGAAAATTAAGGTCCGGAAAGGGGGCAGGGAGGCCGCAGCATCCCTAGCCCTTTAAAAAAATATTTTATTTAGAGACAGGGTCTCACTGAATTGCTTAGGACCTCACTAAGTTACTGACGATGTCTTTGAACTCGTGATCCTCCTGCCTCAGCCTCCCGAACTGCTGGGATTACAGGTATGTGCCACCTGCCCAGCTCTATATCTGAATTTTAGGCTGTGAGGATATGATCAAGCCTATTGTAAAAGGAAAGAATAACATAGAATTATTTAATATCATATGGTATTTCCAAGATATTGAGATTTTATGTAAAAATATAGATCTTAATTATTAGGCTACAAATAGGGATAGTCACTTGCATAGTGATTGTGATCTTCTGGAAGTTGAAATGCTAAGCTGAGAAGATTTACAATTCTCTTTCCCCTGATACATGACAAGAAAACAGCACAAGCTAAATTAGCTGTTTTCTTTTGCTAATAACATTGCCAGAGACTGGGTAAATTTTAAAGAAAAGAGGTTTATTTTAATTCTTGGTTCTGGAGGTCCAAGGTAAAGGTGCTACATCTGAGAATGGTCTCTTTGCAGGGATGGCCCCAAGGCACTGAAGGAATCACATAGCCAGAGACTGTGTGTGTGTGTGTGTGTGCATGTGCGTGCATGTGTGCGTATGTGTCCTTTGTCTTTCTGTCTCTCCTTACAAAGTTATTATTATGCAACCATGACAACTTCACCCTAATAATCTTATCTAATCCTGATCATCTCCCAAAGGCCCTACTTCGAAACATCATACCTGGATTAACTTTCTAGGCTATTTAGTACAACATGATGGGAATTAAATTCTAACATGAGTTTCAGAGAGGACAAACCTCTTCACATAGTAGCAAGTATGTGAAGAGTGGAGCCTAAAACAGAAATGGGAAAACCGATCCTTGAGAGCCTTGAACAACAAATGGTAAAGAAAAATACTCGTTTTAATGAATAGTTGTATTTTTATTCAGATTGAAACATATACATGCAAACCAATACTTTCTCACCCCAAAATTTCAACATTATGTTGCATTCAATATATGCTATTTCATGAGAGTCAATTATTTCTCTATTGTCATAAAGTCTTTAAATATAAGAAGAGTCCCATAAATAATAGTAAAAGATTGTACAATAATTCCAAGGTGGCCAAATGGATGAGAACCTCTTTCTTTGGAGTCATAATAAAACACTGAATTATTTCAAGACTCAGGTATTACTAGAAGGCATGTGAGATCAGATGCTCTGCAAATAGCTTTTGACTTTTATGCCATTGTTTCCTCCTCTGAATAAGAAGTTATAATTCTATAGAGATATGAATGACCTTCATCATTGTCTAGTATAAATAACTTAGGGTAATGCTGGTGGAGGTTAAATTCTAGAGATAGGGTGGCCCATTCTGAAGGTTTTTACCAGATCAAACCTATGTCTGTCTGCTCTGATCACTAGGCTTCCAGGTTAATTCTGGGGGCAGCTCAAGGACAAGGACCAGTATCGGAGAAGGAAAGAGTGAAAGGGAGATTCTCAGCTTCTTCCTCCATGGAAATTGACCTGGCCTCATGAAGTGTTACCCTGGATTAAGGATGCCATAACAACTCTGTTATGAGCTGGACCTACTTCTTTCATAGTGGTCACATTTAGAAGAGGACACAAGAAAGGAAATGGGACAAAAACCTCCACTCAGTGCTTGCTTTTACCAAGAGGGTCTCAAAAAGGATTATATATCACACATTGAAAAAATGCTCTTTGAAAATCATACATTTCTGCATGCTTCCCATTTTGCTTTGCCTAGTTTTGAATAAGGAAAATTATGCCATAGCAGGGTATTAAAATTCCCTATGTAAATCTGCTTGCATTGTTTTAGAAGTCACACTTTTTTTTGTCACATTTAAAGTAGGGCTAGTGTGTCTGAGAAATGATGGAAATTATTGTCAGGTGTTTTCTTTCTAAATGGAATTTTCTTGAGCTATTAAAAAGGACACTGGTCATTAATATGCTAAAATCTCCAAGTTGCTATTTCATTAATGGATAAAAAACTGGGCAGCTTATCCTTTTTCTCAGAAAGTATTAGTGATTTCCTGTGGGAGGCAAGAAGTAGGAGGAAAAAAAAAAAAAAACCTCTTCCTGCACTCTTCCCCAGTTTCCTATTATTTTCCATGACCAAAAAAAAAAAAAAAAAAAAAAAGACGCAACCTGTTCCTCTTTCCCAATTTATTACTTCCTCTCCTGTACTCAATCCCTACACACCTACAGAGACCAATTCTCACCTCAACTCTTTTGGTTGTACATTTCATTTATTTCTACAATCCTTCCAAATGACTCAAAAATGTGGATGTATATGTATTCTTAGAGGTGTCATCTCACTTGTTTTAAATTATAACACCAAACAGAATTTAAATCAAGCTTTCTAAGTCAGTTAAATAAAAGGTTTGGTTATAATCCAAGAGTTATAGTTATTCTTATTTATGAAGTTTCCTGCAAGAGACTTTTCAATAATGAGAAAAGAACTACAGTGATAAATGACCATTCTCCATCTTGCAGGTGAGGGAGTAGGATGATCTCAAGGCTCTCTCCTGTCTCATCCATGACTTGAATAGACAGTTCAATGTGCTTTAGATTCTCAAGAGTCCTGCCTCAGGGAAGGGGGCTGTCTCCTGTGTGTGTATACTGTCAGTCTTTGGTAAGATGGTGGATATCCTGGTCTTTTTGACTGATTTCTTTGGGCTTTTCTTTTCTTTACTATTTATTAAAGGTGAGTTAAAAACCAGAGTTAGTGGCTATGTTGGACTCTACAGTTTGAGAGAAGAATTGGTAGGATTCGAGTAGGAATTTTTTAGAAATGAAAACCTTTGGGAAGTGTCTGCTTATTTTTTGTAGCAAAAAATAAATAGATAATACAGAAAGTGGGCAGAAAAATAGGGATTTATTTCTCTTGGTGTTATTTGAGGGCAGAGAGCTGAAAGTAAGATATTTATAGGTATGTTGACCTAGGAGCCAATTGAAGAACACTGCTAAGGATAAACTTTTCTTGGTAAATGGTAATAATCCTCAGGGTGATAGAAAGATTAGGGAAGAAAGATATTTATATTTATTTCTTTTTTACAAGACCAATCAATATCATTTCATATTTCAACCAAGTAAGCCATTCAAAGTATTCACTGTGAAGAAATGGTAAGTTTAAGGTGATTTGGTATGCTATTTACTCTGATTGGATCACTACCCAACGTATACATGAATCAAAATAATACTTTGTATCTCATAAACATTTACAAATGTGACACAAATTTATGTGTCAATCAAAAAATGAAAAGCAAGAAGACAATTATAAAGAGAAATGAAAATTTATTTCTAAAAACAAAGGGACAGTCAGTTTAGAAGCCAGAGCTTTTAAAGCTTTGTTGGTCAGGTCAGAGATGTATCCCCTCAACCATACCAATTAGTATTGGTGTATGTGTAAATGTTCCAATCCCTTAGAGGGATGAGGAAAAGGACATAAAGAATGACCCAGAGAAGCTTTTGAAAAGTAGAAAAGCCTGTATAATCCAGCAGAAATTTATTGATAATTTAGGGCACCTCCATCATTTTTCTTCAAATGAGCTAAGGATCCAAGGTGTATCTTGGACTGTAAGAAGAATTTATTGAAGGTCTTCCATGTCAAACAAGTCTCAACATTAAAAAAAAAAACAATCAAACAAACAAACAAAAAAACCCGATATTTTAAGCAAATGAAAGTACAGAGAAAAATTGGTGGAGAGAGATGGACAAATCACCACCAGAGCTATGAAGATCTTGAGGAGGACTAATGGGTTGGGAGCAGCCTGAGTGCCAAGGTGGGAGCCTTAAAGTTGAGCAGGAGATGCTTTCCTCTCCCAAGGGTCCAGGGAAAAGTTAAGACCCCAGATGGGGAATCATGAAAGTTTCTAAGTATGATGAAAATAGTAAAGGATGGACTGAAACCTGGGTAAGCTGAATATTTGAGGGGTGGGTGTAGAAACAGCAGAATAAGAAATAATAATAAATTACAGGTAAAATACATATGATTTTTGGCAAACAGGATGATCATCCACTGAGAAGAAAAATCATAAAAACAATCCAATTGATAATGGCTTAGAAATACCCAGGAATAAACCTAGACCTGGAGGTGAAAGACCTCTATATTGAAAATTATAGAACTCCAAAGAAAAGAAATTTAAAAAAGACACTAGAAGATGAAAAAAAAAAAACTCCCATGTTCCTGGATAACCAGAATTAATGTTGTTAAAATTGCCCTATTACCAAAAGTGATCTACAGATTTAATATAATCCCCATCAAAATACCAATGATATTCTTCACACAACTAGAAAAAGCAATTTTAAAATTTATATGAAGAAACAGAAAACAGAGCATAAAGAGCAACACTGGAGGCATCACAATACCTGATTACAAATTATACTACATAGCCAAAGTAACTAAAATAGCATACTATTGGCATAAAAGCAAACATGTAGAAACACAATAGAAGGCACAGAGACAAACCAACATAGCTGCAGCCATCTGATTCTTAACAAGGATACCCAAAACTAACACTGGAGAAAAGACAGTCTCTTTAATAAGTGGTACTGGAAAAACTGTATATCTGTCTGTAGAAAAATGAAACTAGAACTTTATCTCTCATCTTGTACAAAAGTGAACTAAAAATGGATCAAAGACCTAAGTGCAGGACCAGAAATGGCAAGTGTTAGAAGAAAAAAATGGGAAACACTTCAACATATAGGCATAGGCAAAGACTTATTAAATAAGACTCCTACAGCTCTGGAAATAAGAGAAAATATCAATAAGAGGGATGGTATCAAATTAAAAGAATTCTCTACAGCCAAGGAAACAGTAAACAGAGTGAAGAGACAAAGAAACAGGCAGAATTGGATAAAATCTTTGCTAGCTGCTCCTC